GTCAGCTCCTTGCACCTCTTGTTCCCAGCTCCTCACACTCACACCACAAACTGAAGTCAGCTCCTTTTAAAACCCAGGTGCCCTGATTAGCCTGCCTTAATTGATTCTAGCAGGTTCCTGATTACTCTAGTGCAGCCCCTGCTCTGGTCACTGAGGGAACAGAAAATTACTCATCCAGTGACCAGTATATTTGCCCCCTACCAGACTCCTGTACCCCACTGGTCTGGGTCTGTCACATATCCCTCCCCCTGCTCAATGCCAAGGGGTTGGGCAGCTTGGGACGCCGGACAGTGCACACGTGACAAGCCATTGGCGTTGCCATGACGGCTCCCTGCTCTGTGTTGCACATGGAACTGGAAAGGTTGGAGGGATAAGAACCATCTGGTCACCCTTGTGTTCTTCTCCTTGTTCCGCTGCATCCATTGAAGAGGGGCATGGTCGTTCATGAGAACAAATCTGCGGCCAAGCAGGTAGTAGCGCAATGTTTCCATGGCCCATTTTACAGCAAGGCATTCTCTCTCCACCACTGCATATTTTTGTTCCCTTGGAAGGAGTTTCCGACTGAGGTATAGAATTGGGTGTTCCTCCTCCCCGACCATCTGTGATAGAACGGCCCCCAACCCTACTTCCGATGCATCCGTCTGCAGGATAAGCTCCTTGGTGAAATCAGGGGCTATCAGTACGGGGTTACTGCAGAGGGCAGTCCGTAGGTCTGTGAATGCTTCCTCTGCTGCGTCAGACCATCTCCCCAGATCAGGTCCACGGGCTTTCACTAGGTCTGTCAGGAGGCTTGCCCTTGTGGCAAAGTGGGGGATAAATTGTCAGTAATACCCCACCACAGCTAGGAATGCCCGGACTTGTTTCTTGCGACTTGGTCGGGGCCAATTTTGGATGGCCTCTAACTTGTTCACTTGGGGTTTTACCAGACCTTTTCCCACAATGTAGCCAATATATTTGGCCTCTGTAAACCCTAGAGCGCACTTGGCAGGGTTTGCTGTAAGGCCAGCTCGCCTGAAGGTATTGAGGGCTGCCTCCACCTTTGCCAGGTGGGTTTCCCAGTCTGGGGTATGAATGACCACATCGTCCAAGTAGGCAGCAGCATAACTGTTATGCGGGCGTAATAGCTTGTCCATGAGGCACTGGAAGGTAGCTGTAGTCCAAAAGGGAGGACAGTATATTGAAAAAGACCCTCTGGGGTAGAGAACACAGTCTTTTCCTTCGCATCTTCCACAAGGGGAATCTGCCAGTACCCCTTTGTCAAGTCTAGGGTAGTCAAGTACCGGGCATTACCCAGACGGTCCACTAGCTCATCTATGCGAGGTATGGGGTACGCGTCAAACTGGGATACTTCGTTTAGTCGCCGGAAGTCGTTGCCATCAGGTTTGGGCACCAGCATGATTGGGCTGGACCACTGACTGTGGGATTCTTCGATGATCCCCAACTCCAGCATTTTTTTTACTTTTGCTTTTATTTCCTCCCTTTTTGTCGCTGGCACCCGATAGGGCCTCATTGTTACTTTGGCCCCAGGATACGTGAAGATGTGGTGATATGTCTCGGTTGTTCGACCCGGTTTTGTCGAGAACACATCTTGGTTCCGGAAGATCATCTCAGACACCTCATTCTTCTGGTCTGGTGTTAAATCGGGAGACACTCTCACCTGTTTGGAAGGCTTGTTTTCCTGGGTTAGGTCTTTTTGGACCGTTGTGCATGCTTCTTGTGCATGCCAGGGTTTCAGAAGGATAACGTGATAAATCTGTTCTTGTTTTCTGTGTCCTGGCTGCCGCACCTTGTAGGTTATTTCCCCCACGGGTTCAACCACCTCATAGGGCACCTGCCATTGGGCCAGAAGCTTGCTTTCTGCCGTGGGTACCAACACCATAACCCGATCCCCTGGTTGGAACTGTCGCACCTTCGCCTGGCGATTGTAATGGGTTCGCTGGGCCTCCTGTGCCTTCTCCAAATGTTCCTGTACAATAGGGGTAACCCGGGCTATCCAGTCTCGCATCTGCATTACATGCTCTATTATATTTCTCCCCTCATTGGATTCCTCTTCCCAGATCTCTTTGGCGATATCTAGTATGCCACGGAGGTGACGCCCGTATAATAACTCGAAAGGAGAAAACCCAGTTGAGGCCTGAGGTACCTCCCGGATAGCGAACATAAGGTAGGGTAGTAGGGTGTCCCAATCCTTCCTGTCCCGACTTACCACCTTCCTTATCATAGCCTTGAGGGTTCGGTTAAACCTTTCTACCAACCCATCAGTCTGCGGATGGTAGACCGAAGTTCTCAGGGTATGTATATGGAGCTGCGTACAGAGGTCCTTCATTAGCTTCGACATAAATGGGGTTCCTTGGTTGGTTAATATCTCCTTCGGTAGCCCCATTCAGGCAAAGATCCCCACCAGCTCTTTGGCTATAGTTTTAGAGGCCGTGTTCCGCAGGGGGACGGCTTCTGGGTAGCGAGTAGCATAGTCCAAAACAACAACAGTATATATTGGTGGCCCCAAGCCGTCTTCTCCAGGGGTCCCACTAGGTCCATGGCTATTCGCTCGAAGGGGACCTCTATGATGGGAAGGGGTACTAAAGGTGCCCTCAAGTGGGGACGGGGACTGTGCAGCTGACACTCCGGGCAGGAGGCACAGTACCTCTGTACTTCTTCATGTACTCCGGGCCAGAAGAACCGTCATAGGACTCGTGCCAGGGTCTTCTCTACCCCCAAATGCCCCCCCAAAAGATGACTATGAGCAAGATTTAATACAGCGTTCTGGTGTTTTTGAGGTACTAGGATCTGCTGTACCTTCTGCCCCTGTACTGGTGCAACCCGGTATAAGAGATCCTTCTTCATTATGAAGTAGGGTCCTGGTCCCTGGGTATTCCCTTCCATGGGGATCCCATCTATTTCAGTCACCTCCTTCCTAATGTTGTCATACCTTGGGTCTTCTGTCTGGTCCCGTCCAAAATTTCCTCTCCCGGGGCTAATCTGCCCAAGATCTAGGGGCCCAGTCTCTGTTGCCTCTACTGGTTCAGAAGCATTAGGGTGGGGGTCAGACTCAGGTGCTTCTCCCTCCTGTGTGGCCTCCTTTTCAGCTGCGTGGGTCCGCCTACCTACAAGAGCGACCCTCTGGCTTTGGGTCAGTATTTGGGTTCCCAAGGCCTTAGCTGTCTTTCTACCCTGTCTGGGAGTGGAGAACAAATCTCGGGATATTTCAGAGAAGATTGGGGGTTGACAGTCTGCTGTGGATGCCTCACCAATTTTAGGGTCCCCATCTTTCTCCAATCCCCGTACTGGGAGTAAGTTTCCAAACCCTGGGAAAGTCCCTCCCTATGAGCACCAGGTATGGGAGTTTAGGGACTACACCTGCTGCTACCTCAGTAGTGTTCCCTTGGATCTCGATTTTTACTGGGATGGTGGGGTAGTAACTAACTGTCCCATGGACACATGTTATCCCCGTACGTTTAGCCTGCAGCAGCTGACTACACTTCACGAGCTTCCCTGAGATAAGCATGATAGCACTCCCCGAATCAACCAGTGCTGTGGTCCCTACCCCATTTAGTTTCACTGGTCTGGTATACATATGTGGGGTTAGTGAGCCTCTTCTTCCCTAACCCTGCACTCCCCTCCTGTGACCCTTCTCCTATACAGGAAAACTTTGGCAAACCAGTAAAGTGCCTGAAACCACTATTGCTTATTGTTAATAGTAGCCAAGTCAGGAGGCTGTAAATTGACCATGCAGTGGCCTTAGCTTAACCAAGGCAGGAGGGGAGGGGGTTTTGGGTGCCACAGAAAGGGCAGCTTGACCCCGCATCCTTCCTGCTAAGAATATTAAAATTGCTGATATATGCATTTTAAAAAAACAGACAACTTGTCTATGTGTGCCCTCGGGAATGTGTCTGTCAGAGCCTCAAGGCATAACACACACACAAAATATCTGTTTTTTTAACAATCATAAAAAATCTCTTGCTTAACCTTTAAATATTGCTTGCTTAGTTTTCTTTAAGTAATAGGTCATTGTATTACTAATGTATAAATAAGGGGGGAAAGTTTAAGGAAGCTGGACTCTTTGGAGGGTTTCTTCGGGAACGCTTTCTCTGGACGCATCTTGAGGTCCCCACCAGCAGACGGTAGTTAGGCTTCCATCGGTAAGTCACTGTGCCACTCAAAAGCTACACTCAGCTTCAGTAATTATTGAGGGTTGGGGGATGAGGACATATGTAAGTGCTTAAGATTGTGTTGTCCTTTTTATGCCAGCCATATATCAATCAGACGGCCATGTCCCCCTTAATTTATTTCCTAACACCACCTTGAACAAAATAAAAGTTACCAAGAGCTTTGGGTTAAAACCCCCCTGGGTAACACTCCCCTAGCCCTGCATTCCCCTCCTGTGCCCCCTTCTCCCCTAACCCTGCACTGCCTTCCTGCATCACTTCTCCGCTAACCCTGTACTCCCCTCCTTCGCCCCCTCCTCCCCGATACTTGCACTTCCCTCCCGTGCCTCCTTCTCCCCAACCCAGCACTCCCCTCCCGCATCCCCTTCTCCCCTTACCCTTTACTCCCCTCCCATGCCGCCTCCTCCCCTAACCCTGCACTCCCCTCCTGCGCCCCCTTCTCCGCTAACCCTGCACCTATGTAGCTGGTCTACTACCTCCAGTCATTGCCATAGCTCAGTTGGAACCAGCCTTCTGCCCTTCCCACCAGATGGGACTCAAAGACCTGCCTGCCTATCTGTCTGAGTGCTGGGTAGAGCCTACTTCACTGAGGTGAATGGACCCACAAGCTTGCGGGGTGCAGAGTGCTGAGCACCCTGGGCTCTGGCGGATACCACTGGGCTTGATCCTGCGCTGCCCCATTTTTACAGCCCCACTGGTGTTACACCCTGGGCGGCTGCCCCTCTCCCCCTGTCCTGGTTATTCTGCATGACTAAAACTAGCAATGCAGATGTTGGATGTCGGGCTGGAGATCTGGCTTCGAGACGCTCCTGCATCATGGGGTTTCAGACCCTAACGTCTACACTGTTAGCTCCTGTGTTGTTTTTTTTCCCCCTCTGGTGACATACCCTAAGTGACATCTCTGTCCCCTATCACACCATTTCTGTGTGTGGCTGGGCCCGAGGTATGCGTGTTGCAAGATACATGAGGTGAGCAGTACTGGTGGGTTATTGCACAGCTGTGAGGCACGAAGCTCTCACTGTGCTTTACTAGCTGCACAGAAATACACTGCAGTGTCTTCAACCGTCCCCGGGTTGATTGTCAGGGAGGTGTTCAGTGTTGCTGGCCGTGTCACATTGAATCTGGTTTTGAACTGATCTTCTATTACTGCTGGATTCCCATCTACGGAGAAGGCTACTAACTGCAGCTGCCTTTCTGCACCCTTCTGCTGATACCACAGGACAGTAATGTAAGTTTTGTCATCATGTTCACATGGGATTCTTGCCTCGCGGCCATTCTGGATGGCTATAAACTTCTCCTTCTGCGTCACCGTCACCCCACTGCAAAGACCTGCAAAGTAGAGTGGTGGGGACAGGGTGAATGAAGGCCATGGAGTATGGTGTATGTGCATTACATGATTCACTTTCACCCCTTCATGGGCTGGTCTAATCACATCACTGACCTTGTGTTTGTTCTGCTTCCTCTTCACTTCTATCAATGGTCTCTCTTCACACAACCTTACCATAGTCAGTACATAAGCCCTCTCCCATGCACTTCCTGCCATCTGGAAGTGGTCCTTTCTAGTTTCCTCCACTCATCTAGCAAAGGCCCCCTCACTTTGTCCTACACATTCTTGCCAATTTGGTAATAGAGCCTTCTCCTCTGTGATTTCTCTTATATTCAGCAAACATCTTCTTCCCACTAATGCTACATCTGATTTCAGATGCTAAACAAAGTAAAACTGCATTATCTTGGAGTCAGCAAAGTATATCAGAGACAGTTTCTTACCGGCCAGCAGCTGGAAGCCAAGGAAGACACCCAATGCCCTCCACATGGCGTCTGCAGCAAAGACAAGCCAGAGAGATGATGTTCAGTAATTGAACAAGGTGCTGCATGCTTTTCAGGAGGCGGAGTTCTGTAAAACTGCTCAAGGGGGAGGAATTGGTGATCATGAGGCAGAGCACATATTGGAGGGAGTGAAGCATCCAGAACAAGTTGGCAGCCATGTTGTGTTCCATTTAGGATAGAACTTAAAACCCAGATCCGCACACCCCAGAATTGTGGTGGTTAGACATTCGTATATGAAGTGTTCACCTTGAGCCCATCTCCCACTACAAAAAGCTTGCTGATGCTTCACATTGAAGCGTCAATATTTTGACATTAGGGTTCCATGGTCTTGATAGTGAGCATTCTGGAAATGTCAGTTTCTGCTCAGTCATTGTGCTGGCCAAGTGGTATTCTCTTTCTGCTCTCTAAAACTCCTTTGCTGTTCCAGTGGGAGAAGTGACATGATCCTGTTTGTAGCATTACTGGCAAAGGACAGCTGCTAGTTCCATCCCTGTATTGGCTACATTTTGGTGATAGGTCACAATTTCCACTAGAATGCACCGTGCTTTCGAAAGGTGCTAGAGAAATATGGGAGTTTTTAGTAATTTGCATCTGCAAATGCTTGGGGTTTACAATAAGTCAAGGACACCCTACTCCATGACTCTCCCCATCTCTCCTGTGTCCAGACATTCTCATCCAAACTTGGTCATTGGCTGTGTATTATAGGGGTGAAGCTAGAGACAAAATAGACAGAGCCAGGAAGACTGTTGACTCTTTCTCTGATTTTGCTCTTTGCTACTTTGTTTTGTTAGCACAATGTTGCCCTCCAGTGGCCATGGCCAAGAAGGCTAATAGAAGACAGTTCTGGTAGTCTAGCTTCTTTCTTCTTCTCCTTTCCTGGAAATCCAAAGCATTGTACCCACTGGGGAGTTAGTTAAATTCCAGCAGTGCAGGCAAAGACAGGGTGCACTGTCTGTGAGAGTGGCTAGTGCTTAAAGGAAGATGTTAGGCCCCCATAACTAACCTCTTTGCACAATGCTATATGTGAAATGGAGATGTGTTTGTGTGGAGGGACAATAATTCATTAAACATTAAATATTATTTCTGTCCCCAGGTCCTGAACAGCTTATGCCCTGAGTAGGAGCATCAAAGACCCTGATAATTGTTACTCTCTCTGTCTACCACCAATCTCAGTGCTATTTGAGTGCTTAGATGCAGATCCATAGCTAGTGTCACTATCGAGGCTGCTGTTGTTCATAGTTTTGAAGGCTGTGAGTCTTTGATCTCAGCTGCAAGTTGATCTCACATCTCTCTCATACACTCTCCCCCCCCACACACACCCCTATGATATCTCTCATTAAGGGGAGGGCAAGTTTTTGCTTGAGTCATTGATCCGCTCACAGCAGTGTGTGCTCACTGGCAGCACAGAAATAGGTGGCTGCATCCCTGGCTGTCACTTTCTTCACAGTCATGTCAGACAGCCTCTGTTGTTCTCTGCTGATCACAAACTTGCTCTCATTGAAGTCTTTCTCATAAGAGGGACGTGACCCAGTATAAGTAATGGCTATTAACTTCAGACCTTCTCCCTGGGGTTGCTGGTACCAGAGCATGTTTGTGCGGACAGTGCCGTTCTGGTAACAGTTCATAGTCACAGCCTCCCCTGGTTTCTGGATTGCTGATGTTGGCCACTGCGAGATGAGGTCTCCAACCCCAGCACCTGTGTGAGCGAGGGGGAAAGGAGCAGAGATTTATTAGCCAGGACCAAAGGGTCCTCTGCCCAACGCCACCCCTTTCTGTGCACAGCCATGCCGCAGTACCCCCATTGCAGGTTGGGAGTTCTGGGTTCTTACCAGGCATCAGAAGGAGAAGAATTTTCAACATCTCTAGCAACAAATGTTACAGTTGCTAGTTCTTGTAGCACTTGAATTTTGCTAAGGCAACAGGAAGTGAGAAGAGTGAAATACTCCTCCCACTGCTGCCACTTGGCTCTGAAAAGTGTGTCAGGGAAGAAAGAAATGACAGTTTGTCTCAGATATTTACCTGTATATTACAGACTTCGCAATTAGCCTTTAAACCCAAGGCCTGAGCATTCATGGTGGTTAAAGATCCCAGAGCTTTCTATCTACTGCCGTGTTTGCCTCCAACAGACCCCCTGGACAATTTCAACAGGGTTAAAGGTTTTTGTGTGTTCTCAAAATCACCCCTGCAATTTCATTGCTCTACAGTATTCAACTTGATTTCCCATCCTATGCCAATGTCACGTACTGTACTGGCCAGAATGGCTGGCCTGTTCCTCCCCAGAAGTGAGTGAATGGTCCCTGTGTTCAGAGCTTGTAGAATTCCATGAGCTCCTTTGGGATAGGAATTCATATTGGTATGTCAGTGATACTCACTCACTCACTCACTCACTCACTCACTCACTCACTCTATCTATGAATGAGCTGGCCAAATACAGCCAAAACAGTATTCATAAATATTTATTCATCCAGTATTCTGAATGACTCATTGGTTTAACCTATCAGTGAACATTTGGGCCAAAGAGCTTTAGTCTGTATCAGTGGTTGGGGGGTGGCTGTGCTGAACAAATGCAGTTACATACATAGTCACATGCTTAGGTGTAGGCAAACAGGAATCTTTGCATGTGAATGAGATTATTTACTCATTCTTATCATTCTTCATCCTTATTCTTTATTCTTCTTTTTAAAAACTCTCAATCAGAGCGACAAGTTACATGCCATGAATTTTTAAATACAAGGCTGAAATACAGTCCACTGTTACCTCTATTTAGTTATACATAGGTGTCTGACATACTGTTTGAGTGTTGTAGGTGTCAGCCAGGGTCTGAATGAGGTCTGCTCTGCCATTTAGTATGAACTGGGGGGAAAGACTTCAGGAATAGTGCATCTATTTGCTTAGAGACACCTACTTTGCCTAGGTGTTCAGCAGAGAGAGCTGCTTTGCCAAAGTGATCAATTTTGGCTGTTTTGGTTTAAAAACATTTTAGTATTGAATGCTGTGGAAATGAAATGTTGTCATCCTTACTGTATGAGTAAAGGGCAGCAGAATGGTGCTTGGCCTGCGCTGACTGAGGGGGTCTCCCTATATTGAACCACACTTACTAAGCAGGGAGTTGTGATGCAAAATCCAAATGAAAGTCAGAAGGTGGTTGGGGACAGTAGTTCCTATCTGGTGGTGTGAACTCTGTTTAAGAGTCCTGCAAACCATTTGACCCATTCCTCTCCAGTGTTGAAAGATAGGGCTGATCACCCTCAGTTGAGAGGTATTGTTTCTGTTCAGTGATTACCAGAGCTGAAATCATTGGTAAGAAGGCCTAGAGACAGGCTTAGACCTGATGTGGGGACAGTGTTGCAGCATTGCTTTCATATTCACCCTTGAGATCGAAAGCTTATGCTCCCAATACTTCTGTTAGTCTTAAAGGTGCCACAGGACCCTCTGTTGCTTTATACCTTTGAATGTTACATTCACCAAAGAAAAAAGGAGATGGGCAGTTAGAGAACACATCAGATTTTCCACATGGGGCTGCATTTTGCTCAGCCTCACAAACAGCCTTCCTGAGCTGCCTGTCGTCTGTGTGGTTGGTTATCATTTCTATCATTCAGTAACTGTAAACTGGAAGTGCTAACGGACACCTGGTGCCTCCTGGTGAGCTCTAAAAACCAGCCTGTACCGCTCACCCAGCCCTAAGTTCACATTCCGCCATCAGTCCTAGTTTTTTCTAGCAGCTGCCTGGTGCTGAACCCACAGTTTAATTCTTGCAAATTATTGTCTGGTGAAATCACAAGCTGACTAGACTGTAGAAAAGAAGCAAACAAATAAGAGAAGCCAGAGCTGCGAAAAGCCTTTACAGACCATAAGCCAATTCTTTGTCCAACCCAGTGTTCGATGTCTCAAGTAATGAGGCTTCCACCACATCCCTTGGGGAGACAGTTGCACACTCCAATAGACCACTATGGTTAGCTGTAGACCAAAGATGTGGATATAATAAGAATAGATCCAAAGCTATTATGGCTCAAAAAGTTTTTGTTAACTCTTGTTCTCACAGGAGTTTCCCCCTGTTTCTGTGGTGGCCTCAGCACTGGTGTGTCCTGGATGGGAGCAGGTGCACCACCACACACACGAGAGAATGGCTGAGCTCATAATATTCACCAGCTAACAGGAACTAGGAACAACTGTCCCATTCCCATTCTCCAAGCTGAAGAGGATATTGGATGCCAGTCGCAGAGTAACCCACCAGGCTGTACCATGTAGAAAGCCTCCTACAGCCATGATAGAGAAAGCACCATATACCTGTTCCCTCTCATGGTATCCTTTCTACCAGCTCTACAAGGTAGTCAGGGATGTGGAGGAGGTTGTGCTGAGGACTCCTGCCCACTCCCAGCTATGGGAAGAGGAGGTCATGCAGGCCAGACCCCATCTCTGTGCTTCTGTTTCTCCTTCCACCCTTTGTTTGTCTTTTCTGTTTAGATTTTGAGCTCCTCAGATGAGGGAAAAGTCTCTTATTATGAGTTGCCACAGGGCTTGGCATAGTGGGGCCCTGATATTGGTTGAAGCCTTTATGTGTTTCTGTAATAAAAAAAATAAGAATAAATGATTTTAGTGCCAAGATCAAACTTGGATGTCAGTGTGAACAATTGTGCTTCTGTGACAGGGAGCTTTACCAGGCAATGTTACTGACCTCTAATCCATAGTTAACAATAACTAGGATTCATAGAGCACTTGTATATTACAAAAGTGAAAACCAGTTGCATGCACATATGCAAACACATACATACATATATTCACAAAGAGAGAGGAGCCCATTGTAATTCAAGATTGACCCCCAGTGGGCATTGGATTCTACAATATTTATATGAGACTGTGGGATTGGTTGCCTGTTTTTCCCAGTCTAGGAGGGTCTAAAGCCTAAGTCTCTTTAAGGCCTTTCCCTCAGGGCATAGTTTATTAATTAAGAACATAAGAACAGCCATACTTGGTCTGACCAATGGT